TGCATAGAGTGTGCAACACAAGAGTGAGCCCTCATGCAAACTATGGACTTTGGGTGATAGTGACGTGTCAGTGTAGGTTCATCAATTCTCACAAAGGTTCAACTCCGGTGGGGGCTGCTGATAGTGTGAGAGGCTGCGTGTGTTGGGACAGGGGGGACATGGGAGCTCTCTGTACCTTCCCCTCAATTTTTCTGTGAACCTAAAACTGCCTTAAAAAACAAAGTCTGTTAAGAAAGAAGGCACCATAAAGACCATGCTTTTCTCAATGAACCTTCATAGGTTACAATGTCCATTATTAATATTGCTTTCTAAGCATAAATGGTCTTCTCATCACTAAACTTTATTCATCCAACTCAAACCATGCTTCATACTTCAAAAGGCACCAAGACGAATTATATCCAGACCCTTTCCAAGTGTTTACCCTCCAGTAAAGGGTATTGTAAAAGATACAAAATGGTGGGTACTTCGTATATTCCCACTACTGAAAACTCTTCTAAGTCAAAGACCATGTCTTATTCAAAATTTTAAATACTTAGTGCCTGGCACACACCAGACACCCAATAAATATGAGTGCAATAGAAACATGACATATTTTCTACTTGCAGTAATTCCAATCCTTAAATTCTTTTTATAAAAATGCCTATGGTAGTTATAGCACAATTCAGAGTTTAATTGCACTAATCTCCTTTCCTTAGTTATCATTACCAAGATAATCTGATTTCGTGAAGAGAACAGAATGCTAAAAATTGAATGAAAACAATGATGAAGAAAATGACAATGTGATATTATATGATCCAAGAAATAGAGTTGTCCTCGGGGCTAAGAAGCAGACCTAAACGGTGGAGGGCTGCGCTTCTGATAGGTTGCACATCCCTGGGCAATTCCTTCTGCCTCACGGGGATCACTATGTTCCAGAATGTAATAATAATGCTGCCCTTTGATCAGAGTGGTTGGATCAAACATCCATAGAAACAAACAGGAAAGCTCTCTGCAAATTTGAAGTTGCGCTATAAATTCAATTTTCTCAAAATTAAAAAAAACAAACAGAAGAAACAAGTACCTTTCAAAAAGTAGACAAGTGTCCCATATGCATTACAGTTTTTGTAGATTTAGCATTCCTTAACAAAAACAAAAACTTTAATTTTAAACGTGTAGACGATTCGCTAGCACACAGTGATGCCACTTTTGATCAGATATCTGAAATTGTGTTGGTCCTCCTCAGCTCCTCCCCGTTCCCATTCCTGAACTATGCTAACGGCTCTTTTTTTAGGAAGTGTTGGAGCAAGGGCACATTATCGATTTCTGAGCAGATTGCTAGTTTCCAAAATTACCTGACAACTATAAAACTGAGGACATGAGCCCCCATGCTAATTGTGTGTCAGCCTGATAAATATTTTTAAGACCTGAATGTTTCTATCCAGTGGTATCTTCGACTCTTCCAAAAGTAAAAAGACTTTAAAAAACTGTTGAGATACCTGTTTTTATTGCCTGTCCTGCAAATGATTTAATGCTCTGGTTGTAGAAGGACTGAGATTTCCTTTATCTTAATTAAGGGTGGAGTATTAGAATCAAGTAGATTTGTTTTTCTTTTTTTGCCTCAGCTTGGGGGCTGTAAAGTTGTATCTATTTCCAAATAATACGTAGACAAAAAGATTAGCTTAAAGGCATCATTACAAATCCATAAAT